AATGCCACCCAAATTATGCTCAGAAACCAGTAGTGAGACAATAGTATCACTTAGCCTTTCATTGACTTGTTTATCATAATTATTAAAATGTTTGCCGCCATATAATCTAATGGCAACCTCTTGTGGTACTTCCTCATCAGTATTTCTATGGTCTTCATTGAGAGCACAATAGTATAACTGATTCGTGAGACCACCGCTCAATCGCTTTACTTCGATGTCATCGATGGTTACGTTGAGCCAAACGTCTCCCAAATAGTCGCGACACAAATGAAAACATCTATCTTTGATATTGTCAGGTGTCTGACCCCTCTCCCACTTGACTGAAGAGAAATCGGTATTAATTTCTTTTGAGTCCGTCATTCCTACACTTTTTTCACATGAATTCAATAATTTCTATAAATTCTAGCGTTTAATTAAGTGTATCTTTATATATTATATTAGGTTATATTCTTGTAATCAAAAGTACATTTATTTTTTATATTGATATAATACTAAACGTTTTGACTCATTTCGTTATGTAATCGTTAGAAGGTTATCACAAATATTTTATCTTCAATTACTATTATAATAGTAAACAGGATTAACGTTAGATAAAAAACTCAATTTATTGGGTAATTATGTGATTGTTTACGTCAATATAATTAATGCTTTCTTTATTCACCGTATTATCAAAGATGTTTCAAAGTACATAGCATTTAGTACATTAAGTTAATATCGCATAAAGTGTGATGTTAAAATCAGCTACGATTACATTTTATAACCAATAAAGACAATTTTGATATAACTAATCTTTTGTAAAAATTATTTCATTTTAAATGTTTTTGAGATGAAATATTTATTGCATTCATTAGACTATATTAAATCATTTAATATGTTATAAATTATATATAAAATTTAATTGAAATACTTTGCAATCAACACAATAAAACAAAAAATTCATAAAATGTTTTCTTTATTATAAATAAATCTCACTGTTTTCAATGAACTGTTTTTTAAGTTTATGATAATTTTTATACCAACTCTCGGTTCCGGCCTAAAAATCAAATAAAATTCAAATAAATATCTAAACATAATATAAAATTCATTGATACTAACCATTGATACCTTTTTATCAAACGGCAAATCAGACTTCCACTCATTAAAAGACAAATAATATAAGATATAAAACAAATAGTAAACTAACGTAAAAACTTTCACTTCTCTTAACATGCTTTCAACAGAATTTCGTTTGTCTTTTAGAAACTCATTTCCATTCAGTTTAACCGACTCTTCAATATATGGTTCAATCAATTGTCTGAGAGTGTGATCGTCGGGAAACTCATGAGGTTTACGTATTTCACACGCATTTCTTCGCCAAACCAATAAAAGGGAACCGAAATCATAGCCACGATAACCACGACATGAGTACTCGTAATCGCAAACCACTATATCATTGGATTTGGTGACCATAATATTATTCTCACTGAAGTCGTTGTGAGCAAAAGTCACCGGGGAATCAGTTGCTAGTATAAGCTCTTTCATCCACTGTATCTCTTCACTCAAATCATGTGTTTTCAAAGTTTCCAAATCGTATTCATTAAACATTGAGTTTAAGTCAAACCTCTGTTTAGATAAGTGAAAGAAGTGGTCGTATGAGTCGGCTATCCAATTGTGGCTCAACTTTAGGGGCACTTCCAGGCTATGAATTGCCGCCAACTTGTGGGCCAACTTCGTCACCATTTGGACGTCTCTTTCATCTTCGCTGGAAAACACTCTATGCTTTTGAACATAATTTTAATTATTAATAAAACATCAAAATTTTAAAATACTTGATAGTAAGCCATGATTTGTCCGCTTTCGAAGAGACCGTATATTTTTGGTCCCAAATTCTGGTGGGAAGTAATGAGTGCTATAATAGTATCGCTGAGTCTTTCGCTCTTATCATTGGTGTCGTAGTTATTGAAGTATTTCTTTTGATACAATCTGATGGCCACCTCTTGGGGTTCAGTTGTCACCAGTTTTCGGTGCTCTTCATTCAGACCGCAATAGTATAACTGATTCGTG